AATAGAAGGAACGTTTGTCGATTCAGTTAATATTAAAGAATTAGGTCTTGCAGATAACCTAAACATTGTAAGAAAAGACATAGAAAGTATGGAAAGAAACAGAGAGAACATGATTATGAAATTGGAAAAAAACAAGTTATGAAAACCATGGAAAGTGAAACCAAATCTTAGTCAATAACTACACCTTGAAAAAGTCGAAACTTTCAATTATCTAGGAGTGATTTTAAACCAAAAAGAAGACTGCAACTTAGAAATAAATAGCAGATTACATAGAAGGGAAAATACATACAATGTGTTATTAAAGTATTTTAAACCAAAATTATTCTTGAAATGAACAAAAACGTGTGACCAAGTGAGACCAACACTGACTTATGGCTGCAAGATTAAGCAATTAACGGAGCAAATGAAACAAAAATTTATAACACTTGAGAACAAAATTTTGAGGAAAATATGTGGCCCTATCTTTGATACAGGAAGAGAACAATGGAGAACAAAGTATAACAGAGAGCTAAGGGAGGAAACAGGAGTGCCATGGATTACGAGTTATATCAAAAGGCAAAGAATTAAATGATATGGACATGCGTAGAGATAGGTAACACAAATATAATAAGAGCAATAATTAAATGGATCCCAGAAAGTAAAAGACTAAAGGTACATTTACAGCTACGTCATGTCTTGTGTTGTGTCAATCAAATCCCATTGCAATAGGATATTACTTTTTTAGTATCCAAGTTGCAACTGAGTATACCAAGAATTGACTACAGCTCAAATTTCAAACCAACATGGTTACCAGTTGTAACCATATATTTATTATGTCCACAGGGGACAAAACACACAATGTGAGGCAGACCTAAGAAGCAAGTATTCTGTTTAATTTTCGTGAGCTGGAATGTAGCGTTTTTTCTAATTCATTAATAAGACATTTTTTCTTTTTAAAAGACAATTTTTACTAAAGCATAAAAAGTTTATAATATTGTTCATTCATTCTTTTTAAAAGAAAAAGTTTAAAAGACATTTTATAACAAAATAAAACCTTGAAATTACCTTAACTATATTTATATAATGCTAATTAATAATTTAAAAAAGTTAATACAAAATAAAGTAACAAATAAATCATTTGTTTCTTATCGTAATCTAAAAATAATGACAGAACAGAATCAAGTCTTAATCTGTTCTTTTTTTCAGAATTTGTGAAACAATCAATGTCAAAAAGAACACACATACTCTTATATGACTTTTTAGTTGTTCAGTAGACTCTACTTCTAATCCAAATTTTCCATCCACTTTTTTCTCTATATGAAATCACTAGGGAAGCCAATAAGACTAAGATTCTTTGAATGCCCGTTGAGGTAATTTTTAATGGAATAGCATCTTCCATTTCCAAAACTGTGGTCCTTTAAACTGAAAACATATAATTCATTAAAAAAAAAAAATATGAATATTATAAAAAACAGGATTTGTCAGAAATTCTTAAGTACAAATTAAAATATAATACAAGGTAAACACATATTTTAGTGATAACACATTCATAAGTCTAGTTTGTATAGTCTACAAAAAGATAGTCTAAGATTATAGAAATATAATATTTTATGTAGAAACTAGAGCCTATGGTTCCTTTCATATCTTTGTAACCAAAATAATGAACTATAGAATACTGGTTGTCAATAACAAAGAATCAGAATTCAGAATACTACGCACTACTAAAGAACACTTGATACCTAGCTGTTATAATATTGTTCAGGTATAAACTAAGAACAATTATTGGTATTTACAATCAATGTTTCTCAGTACCTAGTTGGCTGTTTAGTACATGATGCAGAACAAAATGTATGAACATATTAATTGGTATATTCTGTTACAATTAACAGCCTACAAGATGATGATTTCATGACAGTAAATATACATGCACCTCTCTGTCAGGTCATTATCAGTTGAATCTTTTGACTTTATAAAATATTGTTTTACATTATGTGTGACCTACACGTTTAAGTGGTATTCGAAAAAAAAAGCACAGCCTATAGGCAAAAAAGCCCAGTACCAACTAAATACATAACATTTTTTTATTACAGTGATACATTTTATCATTTAACAATGTATCATTATTTATCTATACTTTTTTGTAATAGGGATCTATAACCATATATAATTTGTGTACACTTTAAATATCATAATAATATTTAATAAAAAACTTAATATTTTAAACTATTTAGGTATAAGCATACATTTGAAATATGAGAGATTAAAGTATATAGTAATAAAAGCAATTGATATTTGACCTTTATCTTAAAAATGATGAAGGTATTATATATCGTTTACTCTATCTTAGTATCTACAACATTTTTTTATTAAAAATGTGGATTTTTTGTTCACATAGTTATTGTTGTGATTATTTTTAATTAAAATAATAATAATTTAATAATTAATAAAAAAACAAATGTTAACATTAATTAATTAATGTTAGGTGTATTAGCTTATTCAATATTATTATGACATAAAACTATGAAAGCTTATACAAATTATTAAACTAGTACCTATTTTATAATATTATATTTATGGATATGGTTACGTTAAAGAAGTGTTACATGGATAAATGTAATGATTATATCATGATTATATTTAATCATGCAAATCAAAATAAAAAATAATGATGCACTTAGTTGGTATAGAGATTTTTTGGTCCTAGATTCGTCTAGGTATATCAATAATGACAAAAAAACTCTCTTTGGTTACCTACGTAAAAACGAATATTGCATGTTTTTAGGACAGATAAATATTCTCGCCTTCACATTCAACGGGACCATGAAACGAGTAGGCACGACCCACAGACAAACAATTAAATGTTATGTAGTATCATATACCTATTGTGGACTGCACTATTCATTAACATAATATTATACACAAATTATTTTTCGGGTCAACCACTCATAAAGGGAAGTGTCCAAAAAAAACACATACAAATATAGAATCATACACTTATTAACTAATGTGATAATTTCAACGTATCATATCCAAATATTCAAATCTGACCTGGCCCGAACATGGGCATTCGCCGTCCGAATCCCGCCTTCCTTTTGGCCAATTGACTCGTCGTCTCATTCGCGTCAACTGCTAACAAACACATCACGAAATCTCGTCGTTACGATGCAGTGAAAATGACTGAAGTAAAAAAAGACCGACGATGAAACAAAAAACACGCCACGTGTTATGCACACCGTTTTCATATAAAAATCCATTATCCGTACACCAACGGTACGAAACTAGGCGGGTGATTTAAGCGCCCCCAGTGGCGTTTTTTCAGTATGGCTGTCTACACTATTATAGACCTACCGAAAAAAACGCCACTGGGAGCGCTAAAATCGCCCGCCTAGTTTCGCTGGCCTTACTAGTTAGTAGTTACTATACCTATCGCAAAGAGCGGCGTAAGTGCGTAACAACCATAGATTAGAATACCTTTGGTAACAACTTTCTACACCGCACGACGTGACGTTTGTCAACAAAATGGTAACGTCTAGGCCGTTTATTTATCTATAAATTGAGTTTATGGTCCAACGCTATGTCCTACGTGACGCGGGCGACGCGACGATAAACAAAACAGCTTGTATCCCGTCGCTCTCGTATCGCGACGAACAGCATGGTCAGAATAGAATTCGCTGCCGTTCACAGCGTTCAAGTAGGACATAGCGTAAACACAGGAATGCGCTTAATTTTTTTCGACTCTCGTTATGTTACGCTGCTATCATTATAATATCACATCAAAATATCAAATAACTATAAATTGTAATATAGTAATAATAATTTTATCGATAATAACATTGATTTTCTAATATACAGGTATATTATAAAATCAATGATTATAATAATAATAATAATAATAATAATATAAATTATAAATGAATCTAACAATAATTCAAAATTGAAACATAAACATTGTTCTTGTGCTGTGAAACATTACTATAAGTAATTACTTAGTATTACGTGTTAAATTTAATTATGTAATATAAATAATGTTATAATAATTTAGTGTTTCCCATTGTAATATAATTTTCAAGTGGCAGCTCATTTCTAATATTTAGAATCTTTTTCGGCTATTTATAGGCCTAAGAAAATTTGTATTCACCATTTTAAAAATTAATATTAATAAAAAGTTTTTTGCCCTATCAAAAGCCTCAAAATTTAATCCAAAGTTCCTCATGTCTTGTCGTGAGTGGAAATAAAAAAAGTTGAACGTAATAAGACCTCAATATTTATTTATGAGCGCCTGAAGTAAGAATTTTGACAATAACCTTTGTTTATGCCCCCGCTTTTTTATATGAATTAAGTTGTTTTATTTAAATGTCTCGGAATATAATTTATGTACGTTCAAAAACTTTGAATCCAAAAACTGTATACTTTAAAATTAACTACATCTCTATTCTCTATAATATAAGAAGTGTAAACAAAAAAAAGTTTTCCGGAAAGTCAAATTATTATAACTCATGATATTAATATAATATTCGCTGTGGCTATATCCCCGACAACTATGATAACAAATACGCATGCGCGGATAATATACATGATAACAATACAACAATGATAATACGATAATTATTATTCATTGATAATGCAATAATTAACTGATTTTACAATTTACAGTTTTATTGTATGATTTCTTTGTGATTACATTATTTTTATTTCATATTTGTTTTACATTGTTTTAATCAATTTTAATCATATTAATATTTAATTCATAATTATTATAACAATATAAGCTATAAAGGTAAACATATTACTGTCATTATAATATTTTAGAAACATGTAATTTGTGAATTATGTGAATTATTGTAAATATTAATGAATGGTGGATACTATAAAATAGGAAAATGAATTATAAGTATTGTTATGTCCAGGGGCGCAATTTCAAATCTGAGGGTGATAAAAAAAGACCTTCTATTTTTTTTTCATGTTATTTATTTAAAATTGTGCCCATGCTTAAGGGTTAGGTTAGAATATTATAAAAAAAATTATGAAATTTGGTTGATTCTACAAGGTATTGTTATAACCGCAGAGTATATTTTTGAGGATGAAATGGCATTCAACTGTTCAATTTTCCTATGAAACTGATCATTTGACACAGTACTTAAAATTTCAGAAATTTTAGTTGAATACATTGACGCTCTTCTAAATTTTTCATGTGATGTTAAACATCTTGTGCTTTGTTCTGGTTGGTGTGTTATTGACAAACTTGAACATTGAACTTGATCATTGCTCAATGTATTAAATATAACATGAGATTTTGTGTAATAATTTCTCGTCCACCTATTATCGCAAATTGTAGGATCGAAGAGGGACAAGTTTTTTTGTTCTCTTTTTTTGAAAATGTGCTTACATGGCAGTTTCATAGACCTAAAAAAAGCACAGCTACATGATTGGTCTGTACTTGTACTTTCAACAATAGTACTTTTTTGTTGCAATTGTTTTTTCAAAAAATCAAAGGCGTAGGGAGTCAACAGTCTAAAATATTGTTCTTCTACAGCATTTAAAAACTTAGTTGTTGGCCATTTTTGAACTATATGTAGTGCTTTACTATCTCGTTCTATTCTGAGGCATTTTAGGACAACAAATAGTTTTTCAAAAAATTCTTGCAGATTTGAAAATGAGTCAATGACAGATTTCAATTTTCCATTGAAACTTTCTAGGCGGTTATTTGTCCTATTCAAAAAATTTCCAGCGTTATAAGTCATGCCTACCACCCACTCATTTCTTATAGGATGCCAATTTTTATTAAAGTAATCCATAACCTGTGCTGGTGCAAATGATTTAAGAGTATCGTACAACTTTTGATACTCTTCTTCGTTATCGGAATAGCATAGTTTTTCAAATAAAACCTTTGATTGGTCCCTCTCTTGAGGCGTAATCCCCAATTTATCACAGGTTATTTCTCGGTGGAAAGTACGCAGTGCATGAAATAAACATATTAAAAGCTTTGCATCAGGAAAAATGTCATTTATTACTTTTCTCTCATTCATGTCTTTATCTGTCATGAACACATTAGTATTCATGCTAGCTGGGTTATTCTTTTGAAATGTTTGAAAAAACCATTTCAATGTTTCATGCAGTTCGTTGACTAATAACCCTATTGAAGCGATTTTGCTTTGTCCATTCCCGTCCTCTACCAAAAGAACAAAAACTGGTATCCTACTATCTAATAGCTTATAAGTAGCATCAGCAAACACAATCTAGGGAAAATTTTACATAAAAATTAACATAGATTAGTTAATAATAAAACAGTTACTTATATTTACTTCTGGGAAGGCTTCAAATACAGTTTTCATTCTTTTGTCTTGTAAAAATATACCCTGTAATTTTTGTTCACTGTCTGTTAAGATTTCTAAATTGCATTTGTATTTAACTCTGAGCTCTTCGACAATTTTTTCAAAGTCTTTTTTTTCTACCATTTGTTTTCCTTACAAAAATATACGATTAATATGACAATATAATTTTTACTTAACTTTAAAGAAAGAAAAATAGAGTACATATTATAATATAAATACCTTTGGTTCGGATATTAGATAGATCTTTCAGAGTTATTATTTTTCCTGTTTCTGTTAAATACTTATCTTGTATTAATTTTTTGTTTGCCCGCATGTCCATCAATTGAATGATGTCTGACTTATCTTTAGGAGTCATACGGCGTTGCTTAGGTAAATTATTAAAGAGTGTTTCATTGGTTTCGTGGTTATGAGTATCGCACATTTTATCTACTACCAATTTATCCATATTATTTATTTTTAAGTAAATAAATGATGGACACTCTTGTTTTATAGTCCTAAATAATGTTATGCAATAATGTTTTATACAAAAACAAATAATATAGAATAAATATATTATATACTAACGATGTAGCTCTTTGCTCTAAACATGTTTTTTTTTTTTATGAACTCCACCATGGATGCATGTATACTTTACAAAATAATATTTTAAACTCTCTGGAGTTTTTTCCAGTTTTTTTGGACAGGTTTTTTTTGCTGCAGTCAGCGTTCTACAGTCACTAATGGCAAAATCCATAAATTTTGCATTTTTGTAAGCAATTAATGCTTGTTGAAATTGGTCAAAAGAGCTAAATTCATCTCCTATTTGCAGAGCCATTTTAATCTAAAATAAATGAAACACAGTTATAGCTAAGGTACATTTTAATTTAATACAAAATTACCTTAATAGTAACATACTAACATATATACAGACTCATTTCATTTGCAAGTTCATATTCAATCATTCACATAAAAATAAAAATGTAGTATATTATTAAACAGAGAAACATAAAATTGAACATAAAACATATTTTATTTTATTTACCTAGGTCATCAGTGGATGGTTCTATTTTTGTCTTAATATCTTCTTTTTCTTCATCTTGGATTTTATGCCACATAAGATAGATTTTTTGAAAAAACAATTGCAACAAAAAAGTACTATTGTTGAAAGTACAAGTACAGACCAATCATGTAGCTGTGCTTTTTTTAGGTCTATGAAACTGCCATGTAAGCACATTTTCAAAAAAAGAGAACAAAAAAACTTGTCCCTCTTCGATCCTACAATTTGCGATAATAGGTGGACGAGAAATTATTACACAAAATCTCATGTTATATTTAATACATTGAGCAATGATCAAGTTCAATGTTCAAGTTTGTCAATAACACACCAACCAGAACAAAGCACAAGATGTTTAACATCACATGAAAAATTTAGAAGAGCGTCAATGTATTCAACTAAAATTTCTGAAATTTTAAGTACTGTGTCAAATGATCAGTTTCATAGGAAAATTGAACAGTTGAATGCCATTTCATCCTCAAAAATATACTCTGCGGTTATAACAATACCTTGTAGAATCAACCAAATTTCATAATTTTTTTTATAATATTCTAACCTAACCCTTAAGCATGGGCACAATTTTAAATAAATAACATGAAAAAAAAATAGAAGGTCTTTTTTTATCACCCTCAGATTTGAAATTGCGCCCCTGGACATAACAATACTTATAATTCATTTTCCTATTTTATAGTATCCACCATTCATTAATATTTACAATAATTCACATAATTCACAAATTACATGTTTCTAAAATATTATAATGACAGTAATATGTTTACCTTTATAGCTTATATTGTTATAATAATTATGAATTAAATATTAATATGATTAAAATTGATTAAAACAATGTAAAACAAATATGAAATAAAAATAATGTAATCACAAAGAAATCATACAATAAAACTGTAAATTGTAAAATCAGTTAATTATTGCATTATCAATGAATAATAATTATCGTATTATCATTGTTGTATTGTTATCATGTATATTATCCGCGCATGCGTATTTGTTATCATAGTTGTCGGGTCTTTAATAAAGACCCGACTGTCGGGGATATAGCCACAGCGTATAATATTACCCATACATATAATATAACCTATGATAATTCATATATAAACTACTCTTAGGTAATAGAACGATTTTCTTATTTTGCTGTAATTAAAAAATGAATAGCGTAGATATAAGTACTTGCATTTTTCACCAAATTTTTATTTTATAATACATTCATACATTTTATAATTTTTTAAATATTTTTACTCTTTTTGAGTTATTTATAGATATTTGAAATTCATAATATATATAACATTGAGTAAGTTTTTTTCTATAAAATTTATAATGTTCATAAACAATCTTTCATCCAATCGAAAAGCTTGAAAATGTTATACAAATGGTCAAAATAGATAAAAACAAATAATTATCAACACAAATATTTGCACTATACCTATGCCAATTATGTTACACAGCATAGGCGTGTCCACGGGTCTTGCCTGTCATGCACAGGCATGACCTGCAAAATTTGATCTAAATTAAAAAAATTAATTTAAAATCTTTAAATTCGGTGCAGGTTATATTCCAATACCCTAGCAGAATTTTTTATTGGCGGGGGAGGGGGGTGTAGTTTTTCTCTCCCCTGGATATTCTACCGTTGTGCATGAACTGCGAATGAGGTCTGGACACGCCTATGTTACACAGTATAAACCTATAGCTACAGCCTACAAGTATTATATATAAAAATATTATATACAATTATTTCCAATATTTTCCCAAATTCTAACATTTACATGTGAAATCAATTTAGTCAGTGACATACTTCCAATTTGACAACATTAAATAATTCTTTTTAAAAAAATGATCGGTTCGCGTATTGAGTTAATTACTTCCGAGCGAGGGAAAGAGTTAGCTTTAGTAAATTTATATAAACACAGATTTGTTGGTTATCGAAAAAAAGACGGTGCTCTGAAATGGAGGTGTTCAACTAATAAAAATTGTATGACGATCATTTTTTCTACGCCTGAAGTGAGAAGACACTTGTTTGTGACGTCTCTGGCAGCCATAACCATGATGCAGATCCTCAACCAAAATTAGATAGGCAAGTTTTGAGAGAAAACTGCAAACGAAAGGCAGAATAATCTATTTTATGGATGCCAGTAAAAATTATTAGAACAGAATTACTTAAAACACAATTGGCTATTACATGTTCAGGTATTACATCGGTAAGAAAGGCTATGTGCGATAAACGCCGAAAAATAATGTCCACGTTACCCAAATCGCTAAACGAAGCTTTAGAACAGCTAAGAAATTTACAATTAGACAATAGCTTTATGCACAAAAACCAACAATTTATTCATGTGCCACCAAATGAATAATTTGTTTATATAACAACGGCTACTAATATTTCATTTTTAATAAAAAATTGTACCGAATTATTCGGTGATGACTGATGGTACATTTGAGTATTGCCCTAAATATTTTATGCAGCTATACACAATACACGGGATACAAAGTGGATTCTACATTCCGTTAGTATATTTTTTTTTTAAAGACAAAAGTCAAAGTACTTATAAGTTATATTAAAATGTGGCAATTTATGAAAAAAATTTGTTTTGAAATGACTTCATGCGTTTTTAATTTGAAAACACTTCATGTTGACTTCGAATTAGCTGTCCACCAATCAGCAATAATAGTTTTCTCTTATGTCAGTATAAAAGGATGCAAATTTCATTTAGGACAAGCATGGTGGAGAAAAGTAAGAACCTTGTAATAATTTTAATTAATTTAACAATTTTTATTCTTCAGATTTTTCAATTAAATATTATTTTTTAGATCCAAAGCGAGAAATCTTTAAGAGAAGCCTATACTACAGCAAATAATGATCTTGGAAAGTGGTTAAAACATCTTTTTGGTTTACCATTTCTATCAAGCAATGATGTTGAAGATGCATTTGCAGATTTAATAAGTACATGTCCTGATGAGTCTGGTTTTGTATATTCTGATTATGTTTTAAACAATTATATTGACAAAGACTGTCCTTTTCCACCACTAATTTGGGCTGAAGAACCATAAAAAAATCCAAGGTAGGTTCTATAATTATTATTTAAAATTTTAAACTGTATAATTTTTTTATAATTGTTATAATATTATTTTAATGTTATCACAGAACAACAAATGCAGCCGAAAGTTTTCATCGAACATACAATGGCCAATTTTACTGCCCACATCCACCCATTTACTCAGTGCTAACAGTCTTATTAGAACACAGTCCGAAACAGATGTAAAAATACATTCAATTATTTCTAATAATGAAAAAAAGAAAATGACTCTTAGAGAAACAGAAAGCATTGAAACTATTATTAGGGCATATGATAAGTATAAATCTTGTAAATCCCAAGATCATTTATTATATTATTTATCACTAACTGGCCATACTTACCAAGATAAATCATTATAATTCATATTACATGTATTTTTTCGCTAGGTATATAAATATTCGTTATATCGTTATTTCATTATACGAGTACACTGTACACTAGAGCGATTTTGACGCGCTGTGAAGAGTCCGAGTACCACGAGTCGTTATAACGTGCGTACCGGGTGCCACCGTCGTCGTATGCGTACCGCGCGCCAAAATCACTCAAGTGTGGCTCGGCCTTTACAATAATATAGATTTTGCAAAAAATCAAACAACGTTGCATTTAAAATTATGCGGAATCGTATATATATTATATATTAAATTTGCGGAGTCGTGTATTTATATCAGTGGCTATTAAAATCAACACGATTCCGTAAATTTTGCGGAATCGTTTTCCGCCAATATTTTATACCTTATACAGCTATTGAGTATTGCCAGTATTGGTATATAATAATTATGTTTTCCGTGCGATAAATATAGTATTTACGAAAAAGATCTTGCCTTTACCGCCTTTACAACAAAACATGCCTATATTATGTATATAATTTTTAATATACTATTAGGTACTATTTTCATTTTTTACTATATGAACATTTAACTGATATCACCACTCGCTTGTAATATAATCATTATTAATTATTATTATCGCTTGTATAGGTAGGTACACTTAAATCTTTGTAATCGTTGTAATTGTGGAATCGTTATTCGCGTGCTATGGGCCGACGTTATACATTCATTTTCAAACGAACAAACAATTAGTTCGTTTTATTGTGCAAAATTATTTATTTTTTTATATTACTATTTTCTTTATTATATGTTCTATTTTATATGTATTTATTATTTTTATTATTATAAATAAAGGCCAATAGCAGGTTAGGTTATTGGCCTAACAGGTCATTGGCCGCTTTATATGTATTATAATTTATCGATTTTAAAATACCTATTTAATTATAACACTACAGCATTTATTATGTTATTAATATTTATTCATTTTTATTTTTTATATGTATTATAATTTTGCGACTTTAATCGGTTTTATATCGATTCGGGTAAAAGGAGTTGGGGAAAAAAGATTTAGGGTTTACGGACTTTCGGAAAAAATACCATTCGGGAATTTCAATTTGGGGAAAATACCGGTAACCAACAACTGCTAAATCTGTAATATCTTAAAAAACATTCATTTAAAATCCACGCTATAAAGGGCCATATCGATTTGAGGGCCATATCTCTAGGAGATCGAAATATACCATCGAGGACTTTTTTGTAAGCCTTTTTAATGTGTACAATACTGTCGTACATTATTTTGATATAATATCTTGTAGGGTTCGACCTGCGTTTGCAATGTAAACGCAAAAAATGTGTTTATTTAAGACATCACATTAGAAACCTTTAATATTATCAGTGTTTCTCTACTATATTATGCATGTTATATAGTATATATATTATATATACATTATACATATAAACTTTCCTCTTGAATCACTCAATCAATTAAAAACCCACAACAAAATCTGTAGCTAAGCATACATAGGGCCATACAGACAGCGGGTAGCGACTTTGTATTAAACTATATAGTGATTTTAAAGCGAGTTATGAATATTTAAAAAACATAAATTGTAATAAATTAAAATTACTTATAACTCTCTTTAAAACTAAAATATAATAAAAGCCAATAAGATGCACTATAGATAATAGTCTTACCTTTTAATTATATATAAATAATATAGTAAGTTACTCGATATATTATATGTGAGTGTGTGATATGTGGTTACCACTTACCGTTGTATATGCATTGACTCCAGTGAATTTGGCTGTCTAAAAAGATTATTTTATTATAATGTGTATTATTATGTGTATAGATACTCTATACGGGTGATGATGTTTTCATTGTAAGCGCGAGCGGCGACGGCGGTGGTTATTGTGTGTACCTATTTAGTTCCGCAGCATTAATCTAATGGCTGGTTTGTTGTGTCAATAAATTGTGTCCTTTTTTCTGGCTATAGACAATCTGGCTCCCGTTTTAAAAAATGTCAATTTCCAAGCAGCTCCTATTCTACAAATTGGGTCAATGCCCAAACGGCTACCGTTTTTGAAATCACAGTTTATTCCTTCTCACTTCATACAGACTTAGGCCCATCTCAAAAGAGATGTGGCATTTTACGTAAAAACACCATATCGTATAAAATATTATAAACCAGCTGTATCTATTCAAGTATAAAATTTTATCATACAGTGTAAGTGAGTTAGTTGTATCGTTGTCCGATCTGTACGAGATTTTTAGAAATAATTTTTTAAACAAAAATAAAGAAAAACAACGGTATATTTTAAATTGAATATTTCATTGATCAAAAATGGTAATAATACCATCTAGAATGTAGGTTTATATTATAATATAAATGATAAAAATATTACATGTCTAAGCCAACTTTGTTCTGGATTTTATTTTTCTTGTCTTTCTTCAACATTTTAAGCTGGCCTGTAAAAATATATTTTGTGGTTTCAAACAAATGCATTTGACAAAATATATGGTTTATTACTAGGCGTGAATCAAAGGGTAGGGGAAAGTTGCTTTATTCCCTTTGGAAATTGCACCTATATATGCTATACATTTATTTATAGAAACGTCTTAAAATCCATAAATTGTTAATATTGTTATCAAACCTTATGTATAATGTTATCTATAATTTGTTAAGTGCTAAAATTATAAGAAAGAGGATGGCTTTCCACATTGCGCATTGGACTTCTATTTTTAATTTTTTTGATTAGAAAAAAAATGAAATCTTTTGAAAAATGGATATATTTAAAATAAATGATTGTGAAAAATCCAAGTCCAATGTATCCTGTAAGAAGTATTTCTCTTTAACAACAAAAAATTATCAAAATCAGATCACTTTAGGGAGGCGTGAGCGTTTTCCACGTGAGGAATGTTTTTGAGTAAAAGAACGGGTTCACGTGCAGGTATTTTTAATGAAAACGTGTACCTAAGATTAAGACTTGTAAATAATATCCTTAATTAGTATTACGATTATTGATCTAGACTTAGAACTCAAAAGTTATGACCAAGGCTCAGGACTTATACTATTTGCTTATTTTTGTGTTATACAACGCGTAAAATTATGAAACAAGAATCGGTGAAATGAGAAATTGAGGGTTATTTTCAAAGCTTAAAAAAAATTTTTTTCAACATGTTTTGACTCTTTTTGAACTATTTATGGACACTTGAATTTAGAATTTTTTTTTCATAAATACCGTTAAAAAATGTTGAGCTTGGTAAAAAAGTTTGAAAATGTAATTCAAAGTTCATCATAAATTGTTCGTATACCAATTAAAAAATATCGGAAGTACATCGATACAATTTTTCTTATAAGCACTTGAAGTTCACATTTTGACAACATTTTCATCAAAATCATTCTAATTAACACATGCATTACAGCAAGGGTCGACAACCATTTTCCAACAAGCGGGCTACATTGAAAGTTTTAACTTTTAAGTACCTGATCGACCTATATTTGTTTATGTATATTATTTATATCATTACATGCAGCATATTGAATAATAGTCATAAATAGCCATATACTTATTACTATTGGTGATCCATCTCTAAAGTTATATTTTTGCAACCTAAAATAATTTTAATATTTAGGCCATGTACCTATATTCCGTAAAATACATGTGTTATTCAATGTAAATTTAAACTCCTACCCCCCCCCTCCCCCAAATAAAATGCACATTTCGAGTTTTTTCAGTAGGGCTCAGTAGGTATTCATATAATGTTTATAATAAAATAAATAAATACAAAATATTGATGCGTAATTACTTTTTTTGTGCGCGTCTGTCATCTTTGCAATACAGCAAGGTTTGCTTGTTTTGAATCTATTTTTCTCGCACCCAGGTTTAGGAGTCATACACGGGTTCGTCTTAAAACATTGGCTATCAGTACACGAGTATTTGAACGTTACCACTTGATCGGAGCACAAGTTCTGTCTCTTCTCCGTCTGCGTAGGGCATTCGAAACACGGATGTGTGACAGGTCTTAAAGTCGTCGCGGTCATCGTATCATACTTGAAATAAAATATCGAATCAAAAGGCTTAAGTCGATTGTATTTTATTTTTACTATATCTAGTGGAATGTGATAGGAACCCACAGCTAACACATGAATTGGTTATATTAATTACATAATATATCTCTATTATTGAAATATTAATTAATTAGGTATTAATCACAGACACTGGATCCATACAAAATGAGGTAGATTGGTAGATAGGTACTTGGTGTTTGTTAATCTCTACTTTGAAAATAATAAGTTATATTTGTTTGTAATTATTTGTGTGAAACTATGTGTAATTGTGTAATTATAAAATATTAATTTTTACATAACTGTGTATGCTTTTGACTATAAACAATAAAATACTGTTATTAATTACCTACTTTTATTTGAAAGCTTTGTTACGGTGTATAAAACATGGTACTAGGACGTATTAAATTGGGTAATAAATCAATAACGTGAATGATGATAGTCGATCGATTATCATATATTTCAGTTAAAACCAAAAGACCTATTTTCCAATCTATTATTAAGTGTATAATAATATCTATTGATTCGGGGGGGGGGGGGTGTCTCAGACCCCGGGGGAAACGTCCAGTACCACTAAAATATCTAGGGGGAAGGCATGGGGGGAACGTCCAAATACCATAAAATATATTACAGTACAACGGATGGCTAGAAGTCACCTTATAAATTTGTACATATATATTCTTTACTCGATTATCGGTCGAGACAAAAACAACAGATTTGGCGAGCCTTTAATTAAATATAATGAGTTCCAAAAAAACCAATTTTATTTCAAACCAACAAGTACCTATAGTCTAAAGTTAAGACATTATTCTAGGCACCTACCTTATATTTAACTTGAGTCGTTTTATAAGTATTTAGTACAAACTATTAAGGTACCTAATATAATGATAGTATATTTTGCATAATATATAGATGTACTTACTTGTACTTACTTGTATATAATTTCTACCATGTTGGTTAGCATTCAAATCAAACCCGCCCACGGCGTTCGTTATGTCGAATGTCCTACAATGACAGCAGGCCAGGAAAACCATAAATATCCCCGCAAAACGAAGTTTATCAAAAAATATTATGTTGACCATAGTGAGAATAAACTCGTAGAGCACAAAATCTATGTGATACGCATGTAAATATGAAGGTATCTATAATGTATTGACGCTAGAATGAATTACAATTAAATAATATAGCAAACATAATCTTTGGAATATGTGTTAGTTTCCTAGCAACGGACATTTATAAACACACTTTGTCTACGTCGTAACATCTGAGACAATATGTAAATAAAAATTGGATAAGAAAAATGTTATATGAAATGTGGTTTTTTAAGATTTCATAGTCGACAGCGGACCATTAAACACATTTAACTCATTTTTACGCACTTACACACATTTTGAACACATATATTTAATCAAATAAGTACAATTATTAAAATGCTCCTCTAAATAAGTCTAAATAATTTATGTTTGTTAATCTGTTAAGATAAATAAATAAAAAAGATTGAATAAAATGGTTTTTTCTACATTTGTATGGGCTATACTGTGATTTTAGATAATTTAAAAATTACTATAAAATGATTTTACACACAACTTATGTTTGATAATTGACGATAAAGAAAAATAATAAAAATAAAACAGTATTGCTATACTCTAATACAAGAAAAATATAAATATGAAAAAAAAAATAAGCACAAATTAAATATTGCATATTTGTTCGATTTTTACTTGATTGGTCTTATTTTTATACTATACCTATGCTTTTAGTACCACATTTATGATTTTTCATTAGAATAAAATACGTCAAATATTAGACAATATTATAGGTACTTACTTAATTTCTATTTTTTTATATTTCAAAAATCGTATTTAAAAAAAATTAAGCTTGTATAAATTAATTTAATTTAATTTTCAATAAATAAAATAAAGCTTAAGTCAACGACCGATGCGTATGTAACCCACCATTTGTACTGTCTAAATATATATTATATTTTTAAATGTATTCTTGATTTTTTACAGAATGATACTAATGCACCTACGTCCTTATTCTCAGTTCTCTTCTTGTAGATACCTATTCATCCGCGAATATAGTTTACGTAGGTACCTACCTATGTTTTATCATCAATTTTAGATGTCATAACCTAATTGACTAATTGTTTTCAAATTTATTTAATTAAAAAGTATACTCAAGACCTAAACGTTAATTATTAGTGTAAGTCCTGCAATTTAAACCACCTTTAATCATTTGATTTTTTGTAATTGAATATTTATTAATTAATAGGTATGATATTATTATGTACTACACTATAATAGGTATAGTGTGAGACCGATTTGAAACGATGGCTTTTCAAGAATTCGAAATACTTATATAGTTTTACAGATATTAGATTTGGTAGACTTAAAAACTGTAGATAATCATCCTGGTCGATTTTAGCGGGTTCAAAATAAAGTTTTGTTCATATTTATATATAATATATATTTTATTTACGTCTTTTATAAATTATAAATAATTGAAAAGGGGAACGGAGTGGCCGAGTGGATAACGTGTCGGTTGCAACGCGCACGTAAAAAATTAAAAATAATATCGAATGATGCATGCCATACATTTTTTTTAAGTAAGGATACTATTATCTTCAAAAGTCAATTAGCTTAATTGTATGAATTGGTTGGTAATAACTAATAAACATTGGTATTTGCATATATTATGTTTAATTATTAAATAATTTACATTTTAATAAATCTTCTTGTGATTTGTGGTCAATAGTTATTTTATTACTTTAATAATTTAAATTTATTCTGTTTATACATTTGGCTTATATAACTATTGTTGTTGGTAACAACCAATTGAATATATTCTACCTTCCATTTATTTATTTCTAATGTATGATTCATAGATAAGTATAATATAATATGATATGGTATGATTGTAATTGTAGAAAGATTTGTTTAAATCTATATCATGAAGAAATCGGTTCCTCTCAGTAGTCAGACAAAGGAGAAGGAAAATTAAAGAAGAGTTGGACTATTTCAATCCTCTTTCAAACACCTACAACCATGATACTATAACTGAAAAATTATTTTTGGAATCTAATCTACTTAATGAAATATCAATTTCTAACTCAAATTCACAGAACAGTCAGGATAGTCTTTAATTTACAACAGCAGATAATAGACTTCCAGAAGAATTAAATGAATCACAAAATTTTGATTTCTTTAACAACACAATTGATTCTCCTCCTACAGACACATCTGACACTGATGATTCTAATAACTTAATATCTAATACATCATTTATGATAAATAATGAATTAGCTCAATAGGCAATACTTTACAACATTTCTCATATTTTCTTAGATTATCTTTTAAGTATTCTTCAAAAACATAAATGTGTTATTACTTTGCCCAAAAGAGCCAAAACATTATTACAAACCAAACCCATTTCAATAGAAAATAGGCGGGTCGTCAATCCTGATAAATACTACTACTTTGGTCTCAAAAATGGAATTGCTCGAATTAAAACTTGTTATTGGTATTGATGGGCTTCCTATTCATAAAAGCACTTCCCTACAGTTCTGGCCAATTTTGGCTTACATAAGACCAAAATCTGATCTTGTTTTCCCCGTGGGACTTTACTGTGGAAACCAAAAACCTTCAGACAGCAATGACTACTTAAAATATTTAGTATTGAATGGTATTAAATTAGAAGATAAGTCATACAAAGTTAAAATTGATGCAATTTGTTGTGTTATGCCAGCAAGATCATTTGTTTAAAAATTAAATCTCATACTGGATATAATTAATGTCCACAATGTGAAATGAAAATAGAACAGCTTTTCCTTATAGTGAACTACACAAACGACCACCAAATAGGACACAAGATGGTTAAACAGACAAATTAACTAATGATTATCATTTACCCAATACTTATATCTCTATACTTATTGAATTACCAATGTTTGATATTATCAATGACTTTTCCTTAGATTATATGCAAATGTCATGTCTTGGAGTGACCAAAAAATTGTTTTTTTTTTATGGATGAATTGTTCAGCTTAAAGTCAGACTTTTCTTGTGTTTTTCAAGAAACCAAAGAAATTTGAAGTAGTAGCTCGATTTCAAGCAACAGAATTTAGAGCAATTCTAATATATTATGGTTTTGTTATTTTAAACGATATTATAGCTGCTGATTGTTACAAACATTTTAAGGCACTTATTAGCATAGCAATGACAATACTTCTAAGTCCTCATCATGTTTTTTTAAAACAATATGCTCATGATTTGTTGGAATATTTTGTCAAGTCTTTTGAACAAATATATGGCCAAAAGTACATGGCACCAAGTATTCATAGCCTCCTTCATTTGGTGGATGATTATGACAGATTTGGTTCTCTCGATAATTGCAGTACGTTTTCGTTTGAAAACTACATGAAAGTACTAAAGGTTATGATTAGAAAGCCTCACAAACCATTGGAGAAGGTTATAATAAGATATAATGAGGGAGAAAAATCAACCAGTAATTTAAAAAAAATGCAATATTATTAACAATAATGAAAGATTATTATTAGGACCACATAACAAGAGACCTCTGATAAATAATTTAGTGACAAATTCACAGTTTAATACATTATTTTGGGAAATTCCAAACTAAAAACTTATGTAGATACAGATTCATATTTTTGTACAATTAATAATGAAATTGTTAATTTAATTAATATTGGACATTCAAAAAACACTGGAAGTATACTTTTAACTGGCAGGAAATTTAGGGAAAAACAGATTTTTATTTTCAGCCTTTTAAATCATCATATTTAGGTATTTTTTCTGTTAAACATTTGTCTAAAAATTTAAGGTGCTGGAATGTTGAAGATGTTAAAAAAAGGTTAAGATTTTATCTCACAAAAATGAACTGATTATTGTACCTCTTTTGCATGACATTTAGAAATTAAGAATTTATTGTAAATTAAATTTTTAATTTTAGTAACATGTACATATATATGTAATCATTCTTAATTATATATTTGTAAACTTCTTAATTTTTTTAAATTTGAATTTTATGTGTACTAATAAATTAGGTATATTATTAGTAACTAAAAATAAATACAAATATTAAGATGAGAAAATATGTGAATTTGTATGATTTTTGGTTGGTGTTTTAAAATATAATAGGTACCTACCTATATTTTTTCATATTAATATTAAATGTACTTTTATTTATAAATAAATAACTATTGAGTATTAAATTAAGAATGTATAAATGTAGTAGCTTATTGTAGCAATAACATCTAGCTAAATTGTATAAAAATCAAAATTTGCTAATTACTATTAGGCAAGGGGTTGCAGTTTGCTCGAAAATTATGTGTACGAATGAATATGTACGAATGAAAAGTGTTCGAATTTTATAGGTTAGAAAATTTAAATGTTTGAATATTATGTGTGAATGAATGTGTCTGAATTAAGTGTTCGAATGTTATCCGTTAGAAAGTTTAAATGCTCGAATATTATTTTTATTGTGGAATCAACAAAATATAATTTTTCGGTATAGAAATTATTTATTATTATTATTATTAATATTAATTATTATTATTAATATTAATTATTATTATTAATCTTAACTATACAATTAAATATGATATTATATTAACTAAAATTAATTAAAATCAGCTTTGTCAGCATTGTTTTTACAGCTTAGAACAAGATTTTTAATACGTTATTCTCGTTTTTGTAAGTGGCGGTCAAACGGGGGGGGGGATAGATCCCCCCCATGACTTTTTTTCTTTAATATTTGTAACGATTACATTTATGTATATTGTTTTATAATGTTAGTGTATTACATTTTGTTTTAATTTTTTCTGAAAATAACCTTATGACTTATGAGCAATATATTATTATTATATAGATTCTAGACTCATTCTAGGAACAAGGCTGTTATTATTATTAATATTTATTAACTAGTTGCTTATACAAAATACACGGATATTACCCAGCTCGGTGTTCGTGAATATTTTTATAACACACTCCTCCCCTGACCAGCCATCGGCCGAAACGTATTAATACGTTATGTATAAATAGCTATGTTATTATAGTCGGCCAATTCATCGATTATTATTACATTTGTCACAATATTTTGTTACACAGACCACAGTGTTGGCTTTCGTAATTCGTACTCGTTACTCGGGTCTCGTAAGTCATACTGTGTCGCGCTTTATACTTACTGTTTGCAAGTCTGCTGTAATTTATTGTAAATTGTAATAGATATTGTCTATAGTCTATTTTATAATGTCTAATAAAAGAAAAATTACCACCTATTTTACTTGCTCAACCACTAAACACTCGGACTCGGATGAAAAAAATAGTAAGATCCCTAAGATCATTACAGAAAATGAAGTTGTGCCGGTAATATTTGTTTAACTAATTTAATTTATGAGGGAAAAGGGAATATTAATTCAAATTACCTATTGTATTAGGCTGTTGAATTTAGTGTACATGATATTGACTGATGCTGATGGATATTTGGTAAGAATTAAATCTTTTGTCAGTCATTAATTATGCATGTACCATGTGTAGTTGTAGTTCATTATTACAACTAATACAACCAAAATTGATTAAGATTCTTGAAGATGTGTGGATACCACCAGCTACNCCCCCCCCCCCCCAACAAAATCATTTGACCGCCACTGGTTGTTGTTAAAACACTTTAAACTTTTTTGGAAACCTGTTTTGAATTAACTGTTTGATTGAACTTTCTGTCTCGTTCTGAATGTGCTGAAATTGGGTAATCAGTTTATATACACTCTATGCATATATACATTTAATATGGCTGGTTTATCGCGCGATCATAAAAGTATAGTATCTATTATCTGGCTTTTTAATAAATTATTAGGTGAATTATATCTGTGACCATGAACAGTATTCGTATGATACTCGTTATAATGTTCAAATAGGAAAATATAAAATTCGTACATAACACTATTCAAAGACAAGTCCATTCAAACACAAGTCCATTCGAACACATACATTGGTACATAATACTATTCGAACACATTTGTTCGAACACTCTTCATCTGAAAACAATTCATTCGAACACTCGACTAGTTCCCTTACTATTATAACTGATAGCAGTTAAAACCACTTTTAAATACTTTAAATAACTGCATTTTTTCAGAGTTTGTATAAATATGTGGTCAATAGTAGTATTTGAAGATGAAAATACTATCGAAATCGTTCCAGCACATTGGGTTAAAAATAATGCTTGTGCCTAACCCAAAAAAGATGTCATAAAAAATGTTGAACATAGAGTATTGGTCAATAAATTTGATTTCGACTATTTTGCATCAAGAACATTACAGAAAAATACCGGTGAATTGGCTATTATTATTTTTTACCAAACCTATTATAATTTATAATTTTTTATACTTTGAAAGTAAATTAGCTTAATTATTATAACTGCCATTAAAATAAAACAAATCATTATTCTAAATAGCTGTTTTATTTCTAAATATAAATCATAATTCCTAATTTGAATTATTATTTTTTAGCTACTTTAACAGAAGCTAGAGCAAAACTGAAAAAAGCTGAGTATACTTCAGACTTATCTACTTGTGATGATGAGGTTTTAAAATCTCGTACACATAATTCAAAAGTATTAGATCCTCCAATTTATTCCTATCACAGAAGTATGTTTCAACTTTACTTCTCATTTTATTTATTTAATTGGTTAATTAGGTAAGTAATTACTGTATATTTAGATTATGCTTTGCAACAGAACACGTGGATATTGTAATTAAAAAATCAATACATTCTTTTGTTACACTCAGAACCTAAAATAAAAATATGACTGTATTGAAATACTTAATTTATTTACACAATTCATGTACAATTAGGAAATAATGAATTAATAGATAAACATCTAATACATTTTTACAGGTATTTCAACCAAATCTAATGGTACAATTAATGATACTCATGAAACTATAACAAATAGTCACAGCTTAGATCGTTCAACTTTTAAAGAAAAGAAAAACTCTAATAGTATTTAATGTTCATCATTTAGTCTATTAGGTATATTGCAATCAAAAATTATAATATGTTAATGTACCTATAATGTAGGTCCTACATACACATTGTTTATTATAGATGTTGAAAGCATATATGTATATTTTAAGTAAAAATAAATTGAATAGTGAAATAAACTCCAACAATATTTACTCAATAGTTTTTTTCCCTTTGCTAAAATTTTTGTTCCAAAAAATCTAAAACACAATTTTTTTATGTTAAAAAAACTTAGGTACTAAAAGTTTGTTGATTTATATACCTGTCACTGAAGCATCGCAATGTGGTAATAAATGATGTTGGAAAGTTAATGGTGTAGTGAAAGTTGAATATAACCATCGGTCTGAAGTACAAAGTAGTATATACTGTGATGGTAATGGTTCAACTAAAAGTATGGTAAATATCAACTTATGTGTTTCTTTTCTAATAACCTTAAAAATATACACATAATCTTAAGACAATGCACAAGGTATGAATGGAAATAATAATATATTTTTCAATACCTGATTTTTGGTAACAAGAACATGTTTCCAATGGTATAAGATTCTATTTTCAGATCTTCAACCCAAATCCAAAAAGCAACTGATGTTATACTATGAAACTCATTATTCCATCTGAATTATAGAATAATTTAATTTATAGAAATAATATATAAAAACACAATTTTATAAAACTTACCATGTAAGTTACATACTCAAAATTTGGAAATAGTTCTACATTCATCTTTAAAATAGTTCTAGTAATAGATTGAATACTAGTAGAAGTTTCAATATATGGAATCTCCATGGCACACTTTTTAACAGCAGCAACTTCAATTTGATTTCCTAGCATAATACCTAATTCTTTTTCATCCATTTCTATAATGTTGGTAAATGATATTTGACTTTTCTCAATTGTATGTATTACTTCACAGGAAAGAACATCAGGAAACTGTCGTAATCCACATTCAAATACCCACTGAGTCATTTCTCACATTTGACAAAGTGATAATAATTTAGCTGACATCATAGCGTAATTACGATGTAAAACCATGTTGAATAATGCCCGTGTAATTATTGTCGCATTCTATTGAAAACAAATTATTTATGCATACTTTTGTTAAGAGAAAAAAAAAATAATTATTAATATTAACATTAGATTTACTTGTGAGATATACAACAGGTCCGATATTAATGAAGGAGATGTAGCTGTAGCACGTCCAATATTTTTTTGTAAAAGTACATTAACTTGACAATTTAAAAACGTGTACATACTTGGATTGTCGCGTTTAATTTCAACTTGACAATATTTACGATGTAATGTATGTAATTCACGAAATTCACGAGCCTTTGAAATATAATTAAGGTTAATATTAATATTCATTAAAACAATTTAGTATGTATATATAATATAATATATTCATTATAATGTACCTGTAACTAATCAAATTCTTTTGCCTCAGAAATCATTTGAAATATTTCTGATATATTCATAGAAGGTTTTAGACATTTGTTAAATATTTCAACACTGTCATAGGTAATATAAAAATGACTAGCTGTGCTACCCATATCTATAAAATAAAATAATTATAGTTTAAACATAAAAACATTCTTATTAAATAATTGAAATTTGTAATGAACCTGTAGACGAAAGATTTCCAGTTCTTTCATTGTAACATAACATTTGTGCCCTATCTAGAGCCGTTGCTGCACTGATAATCAATTCTTTCTTTTGTCAACCAACATTGGGTCTAACTATAAGTAATAACAATAAAATAAATAATTAAAATTTACATATAAATAACACTTAACGGTATATACTACAAGTTCTTCAAGCGATATGCCATAGACTTGAGGATTTATAAGCATTCTGACAAATAAATAAGTATCCAGTAGAAGCAACTTTTAATCCACAAATATGGTTTTTGCAGTATAACTTATTAATTAGATATCTCACTCACAAATTTCAATCCAGGTATTTATCGCACTAATTAAATTCATTCAAATTTCTGTTCCAAGACATCTAAAACACAATTTTTTTTATGTTAAAAAAACTTAGGTACTAAAAGATTGTTGATTTATATACCTGTCATTGAAGCATCACAATGTGGTATTAAATGATGTGGGAAAGTTAATGGTAGAATGGAAGTTGAATCTAACCATCGGTCTGAAGTGCAACATAGTTGTGATGGTAATGGTTCAACTAAAGGTATTTTAAACATGAACTTATATGTTTCTTTTCTAATAACCTTAAAAATATACACATAATCTTAAGACAATGCACAAGAAATGAATGGAAATAATAATATATTTTTCAATACCTGATTTTTGGTAATAAGAACACGTTTCCAACGGAAAATTTTTTCCAGATCTTCAAGCCAAATCCAAAATGCAACTGCTGTTAAGCCATGAAACTCATCATTCCATCTGAATTATAAAAAAATTTAATTTATAGAAATAGGATATAAAAACACAATTTTATTAAACTTATCATGTAAGTTACATACTCAAAATTTGGAAATAGTTCCACATTCATCTTTAAAATAGTTCTAGTAATAGATTGAATACTAGTAGAAGTTTCAATATAAGGAATCTCCATGGTACACTTTTTAACAGCAGCAACTTCATTTTGATTTCCTAGCAAAATACCTAATTCTTTTGCACCCATTTCTATAATGTTGGTATATGGTATTTTATTTTCCTCAATTGTATGTATTATTTCAGGCGAAAGAACATCAGGAAATTGCCGTAATCCAGATTCAAATGACCATTGAGTCATTTCACACATTTTACAAAGTTCTAATAATATAGATGACACCTTAGCGTAATTGCGATGCAAAGCCATGTCGAATAATGCCCGTGCAATTCTTGTCACATTCTATTGAAAACAAATTATATATGCATACTTTTGTTAAGAGACAACAAAAAAAATTATTATTAATATTAACATTAGATTTACTTGTGAGATATACAACAGGTCCGATATTAATGGAGGAGATGTAGTTGTAGCACGTCCAATATATGTTTGTAAAAGTACATTAACTTTACGTTCTAAAAACGTGAACATACTTGGATTGTCGAGTTTAATTTCAACTCGACAATATTTACGATGTAATGCATGTAACTCATGAAATTCATTATCACGAAAATCACGATCCTTTGAAATATAATTAAGGTTAATATTAATATTCATTAAAACAATTTAGTATGTATATATAATATAATATATTCATTATAATGTACCCGTATCTGATCAAATTCTTTTGCATCAGAAATCATTTGAAATATTTCTGACCCATTCATAGAAGGCTTTAGACATTTATTAAATATTTCAACACTGTCATAGGTAATATAAAAATGACTAGCTGTGCGACCGGTATCTGTAAAATGAAATAATTATAGTTTAAACATAAAAACATTCTTAGTAAACAATTGAAATAAGTAATGAACCTGTAGACGAGAGATTTCCAGTTCTTTCATTGTAACGTAACATTTTTGCCCTATCTAGAGTCGTTGCTGCACTGATAATCAATTCTTTTCTTTTGTCAACCAACATTGGATCTAACTGTAAGTAACAACAATAAAATAAATTATTAAAATTTACATTCAAATAATACTAAACGGTATATACTTCAAGTTCTTCAAGCGATATGCCATAGACTTGAGGATTTATAAGCATTCTGACAAATAAATAAGTATCCAGTAGAAGCAACTTTTAATCTACATTTTTCAATCCACTTTTTTCTCAACACGAAATCACTAGGATAGATAAAGAGACTAAGATACTTTGAACGCCTGTTGAAGCAATTTTCAACGGAACAGCGTGTTCCTTTTTCCAAAGTGTAGTTCTTTAAAATAAAACATTTAATTCATAAATTATTTTTTTTTTAAATATAAATATTAGAAACAGCTAGGGTTTGTTAACAATTATAATATATATGTTAAAATATAGTACGAGGTAAATACATATTTCATGGTAACATAATACTATTTTGTATAGAAACTGGAGACTATGACGTTTCCGTTTATGTGTTCGCTGCACAGTATATGATACAAAACCAATTGTATGTACACATTTATTCATATATTATGATAAAATTAAAAGCTCACAAGATGATGATTTCCTTACAGTAAATATACACACAGCTCTTTATTGGGGCGTTAAAAGTTGGCTATTTTGATTTTATATTTTGCTCATTAAAGTATTTCAATAATGATGATAAACATTCTGGTTGTTTATGTAAAATGTTCTGTTGCTATTTTAAAATAGAAATATGGTTCTTGCAGTATAACTTATTAATTAGATATCTCACTCATAAATTTCAATCCAGGTATTTATCGCACTAATTAAATTCATTCAAATTTCTGTTCCAATACATCTAAAACACAATTTTTTTTATGTTAAAAAAACTTAGGTACTAAAAGATTGTTGATTTATATACCTGTCATTGAAGTATCGCTATGTGGTATTAAATGATGTGGGAAAGTTAATAGTAGAATGGAAGTTGAATCTAACCATCGGTCTGAAGTACAACATTGTTGTGATGGTAATGGTTCAACTAAAGGTATGGTAAACATCAACTTATATGTTTCTTTTCTAATAACCTTAAAAATATACACATAATCTTAAGAAAATGCACAAGAAATGAATGGAAATAATAATATATTTTTCAATACCTGATTTTTGGTAATAAGAACACGTTTCCAACGGTAAATCTTTTCCAGATCTTCAAGCAAAATCCAATCATTATAATTCATGACGTTATATTATGTATCAAATTAGATATTTTAAGTGAGCCCAAACAAAATAACGCCAATCCTGGTTTTCATGGAACTAGTAAAATTCATCATTAACATTTTAATATTTTCATGAAATCTGAAAATTGGAATGCAATGTTTTTAAATAAAATGTCCGAAAAACCATTCATTCTTTTAATGTTATAATAAATATAATGTTATTATTTTCCAATAATCAAATCCTGTCATAATAATAAAAAGTAAAAAAAAATGTAAACTAAGACATTGGATTACTAGAAGCTTAGTTATTTCTATAAAAAATTGGGTAAAAATATACAATTAAAAAACTTTACCCAGCCATTTAATATGCCTCTTGAAAACATTTATATTATAATTTATAATCTACAGAAATGTATTAAATAAACTAATTATTAAACAAACCTAGTCATTATTAAGCTAGAAAAACAATTTTAAAATATATCTTGATAATCAACAACTTGATTTATAATAAAATTGATGGTAAAATAATTTTGTTTTTTTTACTAATAACAGAAAACAAAATATTTACATAAATTATGAAAATTCATTGCTGTGATAGTTGGCCACCCCAAAACATGTACACTATTAATGGATACACTTATGGTCAAACCTATTTAAAATAGCTGCAACTGGTTTATACTTTGACAATATTTTATAAATAAGCTACTGTGGTGGCCTTTAAAGTATTTTAATACATGCTAGAAACTCAAAATATATCTGACCATAACTCTTATATTATTATTACCTTAGTACTTGTTGACAATGGTACGACGTCTGTTTTAGTGACTGGAAATTTGTCTTTCCAATAGTTCAGTAGGATCCTTGGCATATTTGCATAAATCATATTCTCATTAGTTGTAGAAAATTTATTTGTCTATTTGATTGTTTCGGTGATCCAAAATGGTTTATAACAGTATTTTTAACACGTTCCTTCCTGAAAAAAAATGTTGATTCTTTGTGTTCATTCTCATCATAATAAGAGAATTTTTACATATTTAAATAATTTTACAAACAAAATCTTGGCCAATTAAATTTTTATTAACTTAGGTACCCTAACAGATTTGTCTGATCGGTAAACATTTATTATTGTCGACTTGAGTATTATTACTTTGAGTAGTGTAACTATATAAAAATTAAAATATTATTGAAAATTAAAAATTAAACTATAGGGCAAAATTTTCAACAAATTTTTGATTAGAAGGTTAGAAAACAACGTTCCTATATAATATTCGCTTTTTTATCCTTGGCCTATAATCTTCTATTGAAAAATGATCACTACATATTCGTTGGAAATCGTAACAATGATCAATGATCAATTCCAATAACTCTGAGCCATGTATTTTTTCTTAATGGTTTCTTAGCAAATCTATATTAGATCAAATACCAATAAATACAATAATTGCCAGTGTTTAAATAAAAATAAACACAATATAGAAATTTGCCGGGCTTAATTAACTGGCTTAAAATTTTCTCACACGGGGATAACGATCATGTCAATAATATGGGGTGAAAATCCAGGTGAGCTTTTTTTCACATCGGTTTGAGCAAGCAAAATTTCTAGAAACTAGATACTCACGAATGATAAACAACTCTAGAATCAAATATGACGTACTAGTGTACTTTTACATTTGTTTCGTGTCAAACTTAAATATCTGCCTTAAAATTCCTACACTCTTGTTTTCCGTTCACAACTCAATCTCATCTACAGTCCACTACTCGTCGCACGGCGATTCACCCGTACATCGCTGTGGCAATAACCATAACCAGCGATCCGTTCGCTCACGGTCAATACCTGACGACAACACCGTCGAATGCACGGTTGCTCTAATCATGTTGCCTCTCGCACAAGCATAATATTACTGTTTACATTCGATCTCTAATTCCTCCTTGCCTATTTTCATTCCTATATATCTCCGGGGTTCTTGACCTAATTTGTTTGCTCGATAATCTCGTCCAAAAATATATATATTGTATAAAAATAAATACTAACCTCATATTGTTCTACTGGAATACACGCAAAAATAAGTACTCGTCCAATATGCTATCTATCTTAAATATTTTATCCACCGTAATTTTATGATAGTTTAGTATTATATCGACGTATGTCCGTATGCTGTGTATTTTAAACACTCAATCATTTTGCAATTAAGATCAAGCTTTTATTAAAACCCCAAATTGTATTATATTTATACTTATTCAGTGTGTGTTTGTGAGTCGTATCGATTATATGTGGTTTTACTGTGTTTTTTTTATTATTATTTATTGATTATTATTATAAGTTTGTTCACTAAGAGTTATTTATATCGACACATAATTCAAAATGAAGAGATGTGCGAAAATCGCTTAAACATGCTCGGTCTATTACCAATCGACCAAACATGTACAAAAATTAAAATGACAAAGTAGAAATTCTGCATTATAAGTTTACAATAATTTATATTCACATTTGTAGACAGTAAATACGTGTTGATATCATACTCCACAAACATAAAATGACGTAGATAGCCATAGGCGGAGATCGGGGGGGAGGGCTTACGGGGGCTTAGTCTCCCCAAAATAAATGATTTGAAGTTAAAGACCCCCTAAGAATATTAAATAAACAATACAGTAATTTTGTATAGTTAACAGAACTTTTTTCATTATTTTATATTCTTACATCCACAATTATATAATTGTACCTAGTACATTACATACACACTATTTACCAATTTATTATTTACGGTAACATACCGAACAATTAAGTCACAATTCACAATAATATTATATTGTGTTTATATACCTAATATTGTACATATTTTGTACCAATTGGCCATCTATATTGAATAACATATTATACCATTCTATTTTAGATGGGAAAAATATTATTTCTTTTCCTAATTTTTGTTAATTCTCGAGAAGCGATAGCTATTATAGGACTATCGCTATAGCTGTATTAAACCTATCGTAAAGTTTATCGCGATTGAATGAATCGTTAACCGTATTGACCATTTTATACTAAATTATATTTTACTTATTGTTTGATGTTCTTGGGAATACATTTCTTTTGAGATTGTGATTTAGATTTTTAATAAATAATTTAGTTTAAATATGTTTGAAATATTTAAATTCAAATCGTTTATTAATTATTCTTTTTTTATGTTTGTAACTATTTAAGTTGTTATGATAACGAGTCAACGAGAACAATTTTTTATGAGTGATCTAATGTAAAAATTAGTTTGTTGGGGGTGTGGGGGCAATGCCCCCACGTGTCTGTTTGTCATCAAATATTTGAGCCCCCCTTAATATTTCACAAGATCTCCGCCTATGTAGATAGCATACTCAACCATTAAACGTGCGGTAGAGAGCATATTGGACGAGTACCCAAAAATATTCCAAAATCAAAAAAAAATACCTCACACACGTCACACACACACAAATGTCGAGTAACGAGCCACGAGTGGGGTGCCATCACTTTGTCGTATACTCCGATCACTTTGACGGGTACAATCAATTAACAAATAATATTGTCTGCACCGAAGCAGCTCCTACTTCGGATTCGCAGTTAGCGGCAACGACTTGCGATGTGTTAGGGACGGGGAAAGGTTACCCAGCTGTATAGCCTTGCATGCCTTACAAGTATTATAGTATTCAAATTATGGGCGCAGTGCGCACTATATATACGAAGCACAAAAAAATACAATAATAATAATAATAATAATAATAATAATAGCCCGGGCAGGCGATTTCGAGCTACAATTACAAATAATAATAAATTAATAAATTACCAAATCCAAAAATGTGAGTTTGTCTACGTTAATCAAACACCAAATAATAATGAATTTACCTGATCTGCGAGCTATCTGGAGGACGGCTTTGGCTCCACGCTGGTAAGGCGACAGCGTCTTCTTCTGCATCGATACAATAATATTGGTGTACGGGCAGCACGGTCAAAATCAGTTGAGCTGGACGGTGGTCTGATATTGGCACTTAATAATCGTGTACAATGTCGAGCCGGCGGTGGCGTCGAGCGGACGCGACGTTGCGCCTAGCTCGACCTCTAGAAAAATACGAATCGGACGCCGGCGGCATGGCCTACGGCAGGTACCCAACGGCAAACATCCCGTCGCTAGACGACAGCGGAGGGAGTAAACCACGTCGCGAGTGTACTGCGTCCGAAGCGCTGCTTGGAGGATGTATGGTGAAACCGTGGAACGTCGGTGGCGCGAAAACGCGTCCTGCTGGTCACCTAGACGCAAAACCTGTGGTGTACATTCTTTTTTTTTATAATAATACATGAGCAAGTGCACAGCAATACACTAATATAATAGCTTATAATTAAAAAATAAATAAATTACCATAAGATAGTTCATGTAATAAATCATTGTATGAAAGCAAAACAAATACATATAGTCATAACTCATAATACAAATTACAAAATGAAAATAATATAAAACCAGTGGCGTACTACCCCCCCCCCCCCCCCCCCAAAAAAAAAATTGAATGAATGATTTGATTTATTATGAGAAAACTAAAATTTCCAGTACCTGCATATTAATTGTATTGTACTTAGGTATAACAAATTATCCATTATAATAAAATAAACAGCGTACATTTTAAATTACCTTTGTAATACTGTTCTATGTAATTCTGAATTCTGATTATAAATATTATTAAATAGTACAGCTTACATTATCTAATGCGGGTACCTACGGGAATATGAGTATTTCCACGAAGATATTCTAGATATGGACGTGGACGATCGGTGTAATTATTATGACAATATTTTATCGTCGTCGTAAAACGTATTTCATTTTGTGCAATTAATCACCTGGTGTGTTAGCCACTTGTCGGCATTACCGATAGGCCGGTGCGTGCGATCCGTTCAGTGCCGGTCAGTGGACGCGCCTGTATACGTTTTTATACAAAGAATTCTAAAATCCGTTTCATACGATCCGCCCGATACGTACGATGCAGACATATGGACGCTTACCTTTAATCTATAATCGACAATTGTTAACGTCGTTTCCATGTATTACCGAGAGTCCGAGACAGTATCTACATGTTATTTTATCAACCCTTGAACTTATAGTGACAAACAAAACTACAATTGCATACGAACTATTGTATATTTGTATTAAAAAGCTTAAGTATATTTTATTAAAAGGTTTAAGTATATCAACATTTAACAATGGATAAGTGGATAATAAAAAAACCTAAACTTGATAGAGAATAGATAAATGGTCTAAATGGATTGGCTCATCTAAGTATTCAAAGAGAAATACCAATAAGAGACGTACATCACCCCAGCCCCACCCATTATTATTGTTAATAACGGGTTAACCAAGACCGTACAAATTTTGAAAATTGTCATACAAATTCATACAAATTACGTACTAAATAATGGTAAACAAAATGTTTTAAAATTCCAAATGGGTGGGGCTGGGGTGATGTACGTGTAGTGAAGTGGTCGATATTTTTTCAGAAAAAATAGAAAATAATTTTCTAAAAAATATCAGTATCTAAATTATTATTATTATTATTATTATTATATAATTTAACATATTTTCTTTTTATACATAATATGGTTAAGTAGTAATTACATATTTATTAATTATCACATGTCAATTAAAAATAATATCACGAAAAAAATTAGTAATCTATTAAAATGTACGATATGTTTTGTTATGTTCAGGTGTCACGTCATCTAATATGTTAATTAAAAAAATTAATAGTTAAAAATACATTAACTGAACTGTTATTGTTTGTTTATAAAATACCTAGTTAGTATATAGAAAAACTAGTTGAAGTATGTATTTATGGATTCATTCAATTCATTAACTGAAAGTACCCGTAATTCTATAATATAACTACTTATTTAATAGAATTACAGAATTTCATAACATAACGTCATATACTTTTAAATTATTAATTAATAAATGCGATGTTTTCTGCAAAAATTGAATCAAACTATCACCGTGATACCACAAAGGTTACTAGGCGTCTAGGCATACTAAACGAATACCTTTATCTTATTGAAAAAAAAATTATTTATTATTAATAAAATAGTAATTTTTTTCTTTATTACTTGAAAATGTTCACGTATATTAATATAACTTCGTCTTTGTTAAAAATGTCTTCTTCGACAAACATACACAGAATCTATAGATATTTGATGGTTTATCGAAAATCTTAGTTTAATTTTTAAAATTGTAACTTATAAAAATACCCTTTAACACATAAATCGTGTGGCATGGACCCGTATATACTACGTATACTATACTAGTATACTCAATATTTCAAATAAACCTGACGTTGTCGTTTACTCGTTTAATAGGAAAAAGAATCATTGACTTTAATGTCCCAACTTTTTGTTACCAAAATCATCGTTCCTCAAACTGACCTTGTTCAGGGACTGACAAGGATATAACAATATTTTTTTTTAATCTGCATATTTGGGTAACTTCAGAAATGTTTATGGCATTTTATTAGGAAATTTTTATTCATATAATTCTATACAAATTATTTAATTTCAAGTTTTCTTGATCTGTGATTAATCATTTTGAAATCTTATCTTCTGAAGCAGAAGCAGTAGATATTTATATAAACTGAGGTAAAATAATGAATACAAATATCTTAGGTATAAGTTATTATGTTAAATCAAGTAAGTAGATTGATTTATTTCAACGGTGTTTCACCGTTTGTCATTATATTAGTGAATTGTGTAAATGTATAATAAATAATATTATATAGACTACTATAGGTATTGTTATGATTATTTCTGACTATTAACATGTGCCACTCGACTGTTCGTTTTCAATTTTAAAAAATACAAAGATTTTCTAAAACTTTATTAAGTGGCGTATGACAAACCACTAAATATTAACCATAGAGACATAGAGACATATTATTATTATTGTATTTAATTGATTAAATATTTAAGTTTGAAATTTAAAAAAAAATATGTGTTAAATGTGTTAAATGGTTCGCTGCCGCAAGCATCCATTTCAAAAATTGTTAATTTAGAAAAATATGTAAAAAAAAAATCATAAATCTTATAATTTGTAAAACTTCTAAAATGTAGGTATAGTACTTAATTTTTGAGAAACATAATGTATAGGCCTCTCTATATTAGACGGATCAAGAGACAAATCTTTGCTCTACACAATAATAATTATATTAAATTCTTAGTTCAGTATCTGAAAGCTATTCATAATTTACTAAAGTGTTTAATAAAATCTAATATTGACTACAAAATATTATGAACCTTAATTTAAACATTATTGTAGTAAAATGTATCAAATTAAGCTAAGTATAACTGTCAAATTTTAAAATTGTATTATACACATATCATAAATCATCATAATCTTATATGCCCAAAAAAATTACAAAATTAAAAAATTACTCTCAAGGGGACGTTACACCCCATGATGCAATTGTACAATTTTACCGTTTTGCTTGGAATAGAACGGAATATTCACTCGGGCTATAGTGATAGTTAAGACTCAAAAATGATATACAATATAGTTTAGAACATTATCTGTGAAATCTAGTTTTTTTTTTTGGTTACATGGCTTATATATGAAAAAAGTTCCAAAATACATTATTTTAGTTTTTTTCTAACTTGAATAACTTTATTTGTAGTTACGACTTCACGATGCAGAATAAATAAAAACGATATTTCACAGCCATAGCTTTTCTGTTTGTGTGGTGAAAATGCTGTTTCTTAATTATGAATGTATAGCCTTTCCGGCTTTCTCGCGTAAAACAAATTTAGTATGTTTTATATTTGTATGACATTTCGGAGTACTCTTTAAACTATAAAAATCAGTGGTTTATAGGTAGACCTGTAGTATTTTAATCACAACTGTTTCTTATGTTATGACTTACAGCTAAGCTTAAGTTTTTTATTTGAGTCACAGAAATAGAATTTTCATTCCATAGGTTGCACATGATCACTATGCACAGAAATAAAATGTGGTTGAGTTATATCTAAATCAGTTTTTAAAAGACCAGGATATTTCATAAAGCTATTTTTTGAACATCTCCAATGAATACAATTATAGAGCATTCTTTGTGAAAATTGAACAAAAATCCCATAGATATACGCAACCTGAATGTAATTTTTAAAATTTTTCTTAGAATTAATTAATTCCACTTCTATATGGAAACTTGCTTTTGAACTGCCAAAAAATATAAAATTCGAAAACAAATTCTCACTCATACTCGTAATCGTTACCTATATATTATGATTTATAACTATACGATGAGTTGTGATAGAGATTATGGTAGATAAAAAACATATACAATACCTATATAATATGTACAAGCATTTTATTCATTACACTTACACACTAAAATACAAAGTACAACTGTACAAGAAAAAGTATTTCGGTAAACTTTTCACTAAACTTTTTTCCTCATATAGGGCTCTCTTACTGGGAATTTTTTCCGATTACCCAAAGCTGCGGATGCTTTACATGCTTCGACGGAACAATACTATGTTATAGTAGGTAGGTACCTACTAAAACAATTTAACGAAATATTCTATTGTATAGTAAAATATTATCCATATTATACTCGCATGGACATTTATTTCTCCAACATTGGATTATTTTACTGGGCGTATTAATTTTTTTTTATTGTTTCTAAGTTGGAATTATTTTCCGGGTTCTTTACCATGGTTATTTTTTTGACTACCTCGTATAGTATACAGTATACACTGTAGGCATGCCGTATAAAAAGAAGGGCAGTCTGTTTTCTAAATAACTAAATATTAATTTTTTATACTCTAAGCGGATTGAAAGTTTATATTACCATTTTTATACACCATAAAATGTTCACAATATTTTGAATCTTTTTGAGCTAATTATAGGCATACGACAATTTCAGTTTTAATTAGTTTTTAAAATTATTATCGATAAAACTTATTCGCTCGGCCAAAAAACTTAAATATTAAATACAAGTTTTCTTATATGTTTTCCCACCCTTATTAACTTAAAAAAAATCTACTGGAATTTCAAATTACCCCTTTAAAAGCTTTTGAAGATCATTTTTTTCGACAAAAATGATTACAGTTTACAATAATACTAATGTCTAATATTAAAATAAATTACATTAATAGCAATAATATCACAAAATATACTGAATAATATATGCTTTCAGACCATCTTTGAACAAAATTGATTATTTTTCATGTACTATAATTCTATATCATTGAATTAAAATATAACACATCCGTTATTTCAGCTATAGCGACGGGTATACTACAATAATATTTGAATCTGAAAATACATAAATACATTGAAATACATTGGCATTTTGGGATGAAAACTAAAATGGATTGGAAATGTTAGTATTTCTAAGTTGGTACTACTACATTTTCGTTGGTCCCCTATTTAAGCGGTTATTCTATGAAAATTATCTGATAAATAATGCTGATGATAATGGCTGTTATCTCGGGGACCCAACTGCCCGATGCCCGTGTTTGTACGTCGATGCGTCAGTAATATCAATAATAAATAATAATTTTTGAGCAATTCCACAATAACATGATGTAATCGCAATTCCATATTCTTTTTTTTCAACGTTCCTTTCTCTTTTTTCTGCTTTCGTTGATCTACAAACGCTTTTTTCGTTCGTGGCATTGTCGTTTCTTTTGATTTTTCGTTAGCGAGAGTCGATTGAACATGAGTTACGCTCCTGAAAAAGATCTGGCCAGTCTGGAGCAGCAGGTAAGACGATCTGCATTTAATTGTATGCAGTTAATAATACAATTTATTACACCTATATTCTGAATAAATTAATATAATATAGTTTGTGATGTGGATAATGTATGTGCAGTAGTCTTGACCATAATTTTTGGTCATGTTACGTACGTACTAGCTTTACACATGATGAACTATAGAGTTGTGTTACTATTGTGTTCATTGGATCGTTAAAATGACAAATACTAATTGATATATACAATAGCATCTATGTAATAAAGTAGGATTATTAGGAATTCATAAACAAAAAGATGTTTACTTATTGCAAAACCTAAATACCTGCTGCATTTTAATTAAACGTCGTACCTTATACAACCCCTCTAACTAACCGATATACATTACACACTTCAACGTTAACTGAATTAAAATAAAATGTATAATCGGTTCATTTAGAATTAAATCAATCTGTTTCATTGCCTATGATAATTATTTTATGGTTATTATAACGAAAAATAGGCCAGTTTAGTGGACCAGATTACTGAGAACTACTGTAATTGTTTTGTCGATTGGAAAGATTTCATCTGTATACACACATTCACATTATACACAAATAAAAAACGGATAATAATGATTTATCAATTTTTTTTAAAAATTTGTTTCAGTCGGATGCTCCAAACTTGCAAAATAAAAATGTAAAAAAAAAGGTAAGATTTTTTCTTTAATGCAGTTGTTATGAAATTTTAGACATGTTCAGTTTTGTGATTATTTATCTGTATAGATTTTTCTTATATTTGTGCTAACATAAATACAAATTATTCTTGTATCTCAACATTAACTATTTAGTGATGTATATTTTACTATATTACTATGTTAGTATACAGACACAGCTGCAAATCAGGTTAGGCTAGACAAAATTTTGCCTTCTTTTTTTGTTAAAAATTATAAATTTAATAACGTATAATAAACATACTTTTCATAACAGAGTTTGAATTTCAAGTGCGTGAAAAATAATCAAATATAAACTATAACTTGCTCTCAAAATTAAAAAAAAAAAATAATAATAATATTTTAACTCATATTTGTCTTAAATAATTTTATTACAGCTCCAGCGTAAGAGGCTAAGAGCACATAATTGGCTTTTCTACTTTGTGATGTACCTATTTACACTATGTCCAATGGACTAATTAATTTTCCCAATTATAAATAACCAGTCTATAATATTTGTAAATTGTACTTGCCTAATGTCAATTTTAATGAATTTTTGTTTTTGATTGTGTTATTAATTCATTTTAACTTTTTAACCTTTTTTTAAAATTATTTGAAGAAAACTTGTTCCAGTTAATAGTTAAAAATTGGTGTTTTATGTAAATAACTTGTATGGCTTATTCATTTGGTTTTATATTTCTTTGGTTGATTATGTTTGTATAAATGTATTTATTTTTCTGTGTAATTAATAGTATGACTATTTATAACAAAGATAGTTTATATCTATTCGAGATCTATAATATAACAATCATAGTATAGCAATGTGTACATTTTATTATACATTCCTTATATCTTAACTTCATAAAAAACTGATCTATATTGTATTTATCGAATCTTAAGTATTCATAAAAAGTTAGATTAACAAAAAAAATTAAAAACATTAAATAAGCTGTTAAAGTTATATAGGTAATAATTAATAATATATTAATGCATTGCATAGGTTCTAGTTCTGCATCAAAATCTCAAAAGTCTGTTGAGGACAACAGCAAACAACAGGGAAAGTTTGTGGAGTTACCAGGAGCTGAAATGGGAAAAGTTGTCGTTAGGTTTCCCCCAGAAGCAAGCGGGTTAGTGCCTATGTATTTTGTACATTTTCCTATATGCTTTTTAGTTAATTAAGTATTAATAATACATTGTTTTTAGGTATTTGCATATTGGACATGCTAAAGCTGCTCTATTAAATCAACACTATAAATTAGCTTTTAATGGCCGTCTTATAATGCGTTTTGATGATACAAATCCAGCAAAGGAAAAGGAAGATTTTGAGAAGGTAAAATAATAATATACATCATATAATAAATTGTGGAACAATTTCTTCATCTTATTTTTAGTAATTTATATAGTTTGTTTTTTCTTCTATTTTAATATGAATATTAAAATAAAAACCGTGTACTAAATAATGAGTTATGCGATTTATTTTGTTTTGTTAAAGGTTATATTAGAAGACGTTGATATGTTGAAAATTAAACCCGATACTTTTACATATACTTCTGATCATTTTGATAAAATGTTAGATATATGTGAGAATGGAATGTTAAAAGAAGGCTTAGCTTATGTGGATGACACAGATGGAGATAAAATACGTTTGGAACGTGAACAAAGGGTAGATTCAATAAATCGAAACAACTGTAAGTCTTCTGATTTAAATCTCTTTAAAAAAAATTATTTAAAATACTCAATATTTAAGTACCTCATGAAGTTTTGAATTAAAGTTGATGCCTTTTGTATTATAATTAAAAGCATTTACAAAAAATCATAAACGTAAGGCTATAGGCACACCTAGGGGGCTTTCGATTTTGAGTTTTGATCCCGGTATTTCAGTAATGAAGTTGATACCGGTATGTAACAGTAAACCGGTACTCCAGTATTTTTGGTTGCTTAATATTTTCAGCATACCAAAAATACCGGTAGCCCTGAAGTATTATTTTAAAGCATCTAGTGACCAAAAAGACTCCTTAATTATTTTCTAAAAACTACTTCTCAACTGCTAGAATTTAAAATTATCTTCACATTAGAATACATTATAATTGTCCGCTTTTGTCTGTTTAATTTGTGAATTTGTCAGTATGTATACTCTTTAAGGGTGAGTGGTAAAAAAAATAGTAGAAACATCTGCTACATGGATTGACAGACTATGCAAGCAAATGCTAAAAATCTTAGTTATTAATTTCATTATCTGGACCATTTAATAAAAAGTTAATCTTTATCAGAGATATTGTTATTAGAGCATATTGATTGGACACTGACCATGTTATACACTTTTAAAATTAATTTACTTTTATTTCAGCAATCGAGAAGAACCTAGAATTGTGGAAACAAATGGTTTTAGGTACAGAAATTGGTCAAAAGTGTTGTGTTCGGGCTAAAATTGATATGCAATCAGCAAATGGATGTTTGCGAGATCCAACAATATATCGTTGCAAACCTGAACACTATCCTAGAACTGGTGACAAGTATAAGTAAGGACTTTAAAAACAAATTATTTTATAGAACTTATGTGATCTATTCAATTAATATCAGTAAATTAAAATAAATGGTGAATGTAAGATTATTTGAATTATGTAATTGTCTAGCTATCATAGTCTATACTAGCGCCTTTTATATAAAAAAAAAGATTATTTGACGTTTTTATTTTTCTAATTTAAAAATTATTAATTATATTTTATTTTATTATTTTTCGTTAATACGTTATTTTGTATGAACTTCTTTTAGGGTATATCCAACTTATGACTTTGCTTGTCCTATTGTGGATAGTATTGAAGGTGTTACTCATTGTTTACGTACCACAGAGTATACTGATCGTGATGCACAATATTATTGGTTTTGTGATGCATTGAAGCTTGGTACTCGCAGCAATGAAACCAGACCTTATGTATGGTCGTATTCAAGATTAAATATGACTAATACGGTTTTGTCGAAAAGAAAGTTAACTTGGTTTGTTGAACAAGGCCATGTAGATGGATGGTTAGTAAATTGATAAATGTATCTACATTAATAAATAACAGTATATAATTATATTTTTTATAATTTTCTAGTTAAAATCACAGGTTTTTTTTAAATGTTGTTACCATGTATAATTAAATCTATTTTTTTTTTTATTTAAGGGATGATCCACGCATGCCGACTGTCCGTGGTGTATTCAGGAGAGGAATGCAGGTAGAAGCATTGAAACAATTCATAGTGGCCCAAGGTTCTTCCAGAACTGTTACAGCTATGCAATGGGATAAAATTTGGTCATTGAACCGTAGTATTGTTGATTCAATAGCACCAAGACATACCGCTTTGTTATTATCTTATCCACCAGTTGAAGTTGTGGTAGAGAATGTCAAAAACCCTTATCAAATTGACAATGTCCCTAAACATCCTAAGAATTCTCAATTAGGATTAAAGAATTGTGTCTGGGCTGCACCTAAAATTCTTATAGATTATTGTGATGCAGAGTTATTAGAAGCTGGACGTCGAGCAACATTTATTAACTGGGGCAATCTTATGATAAATCGCGTAGAAAGGTAATTGATGTTAAATTTTAATAACACATGGATCATTATTTGTATATTTTCCTTTTTAGGAACCAAAATAATAAAATAGAGAGAATTCATGCAGTGTCTGACCTTGACAACACAGATTTTAAATCTACAGTGAAAGTTACGTGGCTGCCAAAAACCGATTGTTCAGAATCTGACGAAGTTTTACCTATTTTGGTACCAGTTGTTTGTGTTTATTTTGATCATTTAATTAGTAAAGCAGTATTAGCCAAAGATGATGATTTCAAGCAATACTTAAATACAGAAAATAGTCGTTGGGAATTGCAAATGTTAGGTGATTCAGAATTGAAAGATTTAAAGAAAGGAGATGTGATTCAGTTACAACGCAGAGGTTATTTCATATGTGATTCAACGTATCAGCCATATAAGTAAGAATTAGTTAACGTAAAATGTTGACTTAAATGTTTAAAATTTAAAAAAAAATGTTTGTTTTTTTAAGCGTACACACGGGGAAAGAAACACCATTAGTGTTGTTTAACATTCCTGAAGGTCACACAAAATCAGTTACTCCAATAACTACCGTTCCTTTTCAAACCGCCACCAACAAGGTAATTAAAACTAAATATACCAATATTAATATAAAAATGGTTACAATTCAGAGTTGGTAATCATTAGGTAATCAGTGATTTTGATTAACTTGATGGATTTTTGGCATTATATGCATAAACTGAGTTTTCTTTGTTTTTCAAAATGTATATTCTTGCCATCCAAATTTAAGTATCTGTATTTATTTTGTATTTGTACAATTTGTTGTATATTTGAGTTACTAGTGCGAGTTTTTTTTGAATTTTGTATGAATTTTACTGGGAGCTTAGAAAACTGTTCTGCTGCTAATCTGTAATAAAAAATTTTTGAAGGGCTGTTTTGATGACTAAGCTCACCTTAAAAACTTCTATTTAGTTGTGATATACAATAATATTATCCCTATGTCCGTGTCATGATGAATTTTTATTAATTATATACGATGTCAAACAATATATGCGTGGTAAGCCTAGTCCTTGGGGTATAAAACTATATTTATAATGTGGTGCTGGAGGCATGGTTTATGACTTACTACTATATCAAGGCTCAACCACTGAATTAGATCAAGAAACTAAGGCAGATTTTGGATTATTTGGATCAGTTGTTCTGAAATTGTGTGAACAGCTAAAGAAAAATAGACACATATTATATTTTGACAATTTTTTTACATCTTATAACTTATTAAATGCTCTTCAAGATCAAAAAATATATGCAGCTGGTACAGCTAGAGTCAATAGATTGGGAAATCCACCTTTGATAGCAGATAAAAATTTTTAAAAAATGGGTAGAGGAACGTCTTTTGAAGTATCAGGATCTACTGAATATGGAGGACGAACAAATCAAATTGGTATGATTAAGTGGTTTGATAATAAAGGTGTTGTACTAGCATCTAACTTTTTGACATCAGGTAATACTTATGAAGTTAACAGATGGGACAAAAAAGAAAAAATATATATTACATTAGAAAGACCAGAAATAATAAAGTTATACAACAAACGTATGGGTGGAGTCGATTTACATGATCAATTGGTCAGTTATTTTCGAATATTTATAAGATCACGTAAATGGACTCTTCGAATCTTAACACATTCTTTTGATATGGCTTTAACAAATAGTTGGATGGAATACCGAAATTATGCAATACAATGTAATATTAAAACAAAAATGGACTTGCTTCTTTTTAAACAACAAGTAGCAAAAACCCTTGTTATTCTTGGTAAAGCACAAACGTATACTCCTGAGCGCAGAAAAAAGTAGGAAGACCTAGTTCTTCACCTTCACCACCAATAATACCAGTAAAATCAAGAAAGCCTAGAAATATTGATGATCCAACTCCTTTTAATGAAATCCGTTATGATAGCAATAACCATTTTGCCATATATGATGAAAGACAACATGCTACTAGATGTAAGTATGAAAAATGTACTCTAAAAACATCTATAAAATGTACAAAATGTAATGTACATTTATGTATGACAAAGCAGCATAATTGTTTCTATAAATTCCATCATAATGAGTAAATTACCATTATGAATGTGATACAAATGTTTTACTTATAACTACCAAAAGTATGGTTTCATAAATAAAAACCTGAAGTTACAATCTAAAGTCTGAAATTTATATTGTTTTTAACAGAAGTTACTAAGTTGTAATCAATATTTAAAATTTATATTATTCTGTTTATTATTTATTAATTTTTGTTTCAGTTTTTATTTTGTTAAATTTTTTTAGAATAGTTTTACTAATGTGTTATAATATTAAAAATATGATAGTTATAGATATAAATGAAAGTAACATTTAAAATTCCAACTGTGTTCTGTTATTTGTAGTATAGCATTCCTAATACTATACATTATTATTGCTGTGATGCGTATACAATGTATTATACTTATTAGTTATTAGTTATTACATATATATTTCAAAAAAAGAACATGTTACTCTTTTAAAAAAGTGATATAATACTATAATATATATTACTATAAAATATAAATTAAAACCATTAACAAAATGTCAAATCATTTAATAGTGAAAAATAGGCAATTCAAATTTTAACATCGTTCACTCCTGATGTCCTTGTGGAAGGACATATTCAATTTCTATGTAAAAAAAAAATCATAAAATTTTGAAATTTAATTATAAGTACTATTTAGACACTTATAAATAATATTCAAACAAAAAAAAAATTCTGTGAGTGAAAGGGTTAATATTAATTTAATTTGCTAGTATGATATATTTAATCCTCTGAACAATTATAATTTATATAATATATTATATAATTTAAATATGTAAAATGAAACATTTTAGGATAAAAAATCGAAGGGAAAAAAGAATGTTGCTGTGACCAATAATAAATCATCGGATAGCACGAATACCAAAAAAGTAACAAAATTAGGGTTGGAAGTACTAAAGGTATCGGAAAATCTTGGAGAATGGTATTCTCAAGTGTTGGTTAA